AGTAATCCCGCTTAGCTTCTGAGACCCGATGAGACCAGGCCAGCCTGGGCCACCCAGGTCAGAGCAGAGCCAAAGAGAGGCGGTGCACCATGGCCTGCCTCTGCGTAGCAGCCCTGGAATTCCTCCGTGGTCTCCCATCCAAGTACTAACCAGGGCTGACCCTGCTTAGCTTCTGAGATCGGATGGGATGAGGCTAGCCTGGGCCACCCGGGTCAGGCCACTCTACGCAGGGCACCAATAAAACTTGAGCCAGGGCTATGAGCCAGCTCTTAAGCCCTGCTTCGTGCAACTTCTGCCAACGCTCCAGCCTCCCAGAAAAATGGTGCAAGCAGGGCCAACCCGAGGTTTTTCAGCACCCTAGGTAAAACTACACCTGCTTCCTCCCGTCTCTCCTTCCCCCCCCGGAGGACCGGGACCCTCCAGCTGCATGCGCCCAGTCCCCTCGCTCCCCGCGAAGACTCACCGAGGGCAGCGTGGAGGAGTCGCCCGGTCCGAGCAGGCCCGTCTTGGAGGAGGAAGCGGCAGGGGGGCTGCTCCAGCTTCTTCTATGCACCATGCACGCCTACCTGAGCCGCCCTGCCACTGGGCCCTTCAGGCGGCGCCGTCCGCCTCCTCCCCGCCCTGCAGGCCACCTGCACCTCAGATTAGGCCCCGAGCGCAGCAGGGGGGGCGCTTCCTCCCTCCTCGCTTCCTTCCCCGCCCGCTTCTGGGCACACTGGGCGCCGGACTCGGGGTGAAAGAGGCGGCGGAGGTGGCGGTCCCCCGGTCAGGGAGTAGGGCTTTTGGCCAGGGGGGGGGCGGGTGCAGTTTGGCACCCCTAAGGGCCGGCCCACTCTAGGCGAATGCCTAGTTCGCCTAGTGAGTGAGCCGGCCCTGGGTGCAAGCCTGTCTAATGGTCGTGAACTTGGGTGTAGGAGAAACAGACTTCTCTCACTGGTTACTTCTGATCTTCAAGGTTGAAATGTGGTTGCCAGTACATGATCGGCGATGCCCTGTTGCTTCAGTACAGCCCTATTGAAGCCCCATCGCCGAGCGTCCTGCCGGGAGTTGGCCTGCTGGCTCTTGTCCTGAAGCTAGCCAGAGGTAAGAACTGGGGGGGGGGGACAGCTGCTGGTCATGTGTGCGCCTTTCCATGATGAGGGCCATGGAGAGACGTACCAGTGTTTCCTCTAAGCTGAGTTAGTGTGAGCTAGCTCGTGGCTCTTTTAGCCTCCGGTTCACAGATTTTTGTCTTAGCTCAGGAAGGAGGGCTCCAGAGCAGACTAATTGTTGGGTGTTACAAGTTAAAAACACTTCAGTATTTTCAGGGTTAATGATGTTTGTTAAGTCACATGTTTGTTTGTAACCAATCTATTTAGACAATAGGATGCCCAGGAACTTTGGAGCTAGTTTGCTACTCTGCTTGGAAACCAAGGTGTCAAGTATTAGCATTTTATGGTTTCTCTTCCCGTTCTTTGTTCTGACGGAGAAGGAGACGCCATTCCGGCTCTTCCCGTTTTACCCTTTAGCTGCAAGGACGTAGGCATATTAGCTCTTTGTTATTTTATATCCTGTGTACCTTTTTCCCATGTTAGCTTTACAGTAAACTTTTATATTTTAATACACACCCTGGACTCCGTCTCTTAATACTCTGCTGACTAACTTAAAAAGAATCCCAACACTCATTGATGCAGTAGCCAAAATCGCTCGCTCATGACTTTAATGCCGGTAGGTCACCAAGTAGAATTTTTGCTCACAAGACTCCTCAGCTTAGGGGGAGCATAGCTAAGCATCGACCCAGCACACTGAAGGGGGAGCTGCAGCCCTGCGTTGGTTGGCTGGGTCCTCCTCCAGCCCTCTGTGTGAGGGTTAACTAGGGTTCCCGACTCTGAGTTAGGAAATTCCTGGAGATTTGAGGGTGAAACCTGGGGAGGGGAGGGACCCCCGCGGGATATAATGCCATGGAGTCCATCTTCCGAAGCCGCCGTTTCCTCCAGGGGAACTGATCTCTGTTGTCTGGAGACCACTTGTAATTCCAGGAGATCTCCAGGTCCCACCTGGAGGCTGGCAATCATAGCAATGAACCCACTTGCAGCGACTTCTAGATCACATGGTTCACAGGAATCTGCTGAACGTGCGACCTGAAACACTGCACGTGGCCCCACTGATGACTTAAATGACTGGCTTGAGCATACCAAAGCTTTAGGTGGAACTTGGCCATAACGGAGGCTGCAGTTCAGAACACAGAATCTAACGTGTCCATGCTTGGAGCCTTTCACCTGCTCGGACTTGGGGGGAAATAGCCAGGAGTTAGATCAATTGCTGTTTTTTTAGCAAGTGATTAAGGAGAGACCTGAAATCTTGGGGCCAGGTGGATTAGGCAGCTCCAGGGAAGCTCTTAACTGGTGGTGGCTCTCCAAGGTCCTGGACAGGCTGCTGGTCCTGTCACTGGACTTCACCATTGCCCTGACGTTTTGAGGAACTAGACAAAAGTGGGCTTGAAGCTCAACATTAA